TAAAGGCACTTTTGGGATGTTGAGCTAATTTGTCCCAGACTATTTGCCACCCACGTAGCTTATCTGTGCAGTCACCTGAATGGAACATGTCTGTGCCTAATCCCTGCTATTATTCCCATGAGGTAACTACCAAATGAAGATATCAACAGGATGATGTGTCTTTTCATTGTGCACTTTTCAACCCACCTAGTTTGCATTGCCAAAAAGTGAAATGCAGACAAGCATTGAGTATAATCAGCTGGTGCAAAATATTAGAATATGTTGACACAGCAATTATCATAATTCCACCAAACAACGTTGTCTCTCATTGTGTAGGGAGCTAAAGCCCTGGAGACCAGAAGAATAATCCATAAACACACTGTACTGCCCTATGAACAATGTAATAAAGTTATACTTGTGCACTGTCTCTCTGGAGATTACTTGCTCCCACTGTTACTTTCAATGTGGTGCAATAATCGCTGTTTAATATGTACTTCATTCTCTGATGAGGCCATTTTCCATTTAAAGAGTATTTTTCTACTTTTGCTTCCATTGGATATAAGCATCATTGTCAAGACCATTGCTTTGAGAAGATGATTGTGAGCTGCTTTCTTGCAGTCCACACAGTGACTTTTCTGTAATGGATTGGTCGAACTGACTGACTTGCGACCATTTCATAGGGCTGTTAAGATTCTAATCATATTGCTATTTTTATGGGATCATATGAAGGCCAGACCAGGTAAGGAGAGCAGATTTCCTTCCCTGAAGGACATTTATGAATCAGATGGGTTTTTACAACAATCAGTGGCATGCTAATAGTCACTATTATTAAGATTGGCTTACAATTCTAGTTTTTGTTAACTAATTGCATTAATCAATTAGTTAAGTATAAATCCACAGCTTCTATGCGATGGGTCCTTGGAACATTAGCTTGGTCCCTGGATTATTCACCTAGGAAGTTTACTGATGCACCACCATCTCCCACAGGATGAAATTGGTTTCTGTCTGCAATCTAGAATAAGCTCATAGCAATTTGATCATGCACTTTTTGCACACCGCATTTCTTTTCTGTTCACCGTATGCTAAAAAGAGGCAATTAACTCATTATGGATCCATTTTGCAAGAATTCTCACTTATTACCTATCATCACGTTGGTTAATTAGATCATTTACTTGATACTAATTTTGTATTTCAAATAACCTGGGACAATTTCTCATATTCCTAGTGTACAAATCCTCTAAGGCTCTTGTGGCATTGTAATACTGTCTCTACGTCTTAATTAGAAGGCCTGGGTTAAAGTCCCACCTGCTCCAGTGTTGTGTAATAACATCTCCGAATGGGTTCATTAGAAGATATCCTTATGCAAATCTTCCATTTTTATAGAACTTGGTGCTTTACACTGGAATGCCCGCTTGATCTCTCTGCTACTCCCGAATAAAGTGCTGTACCCATAATATTAACTCAGTCTTTGGTTTTACAAATGCTGTTAGACTTCTTATGTTTTCCAATATTTTCTGTGTTTTTATTTCAGTTTAACCTTTTTTTAATCTCTTGCCCAGTAGATGCAACCTTCTGTTCACTGATTTCTCCATCTTTTCCTCTTTCCATCATCTGCTCATGTTGAAAGACTGATCATTTCTGCTGATATTGTCAGGTAATGTTAAAGAAATTGAAGAACTATGGAAACGGTATACTTCAGCACAGAGAACAGGTATATCATAGAGATGTCTGGGATTGTCACATTTGTCAAAAGTGGATTATTTTGTAATTTATTTTCCAATTTATTTGGTACTCCTCCCAGATCACAATCAGAAATGTCTTTCTTTACCCCTTGATTTTCCTGCAATCTTTGATCACTTTCCTGTGACACTCATAAGAGAGCTGTGGGAACAGTGAAATCTCTGTGAAATGTTGTTGGATAATAACAGAGCAATTCTGGTCAGCTCTGGAAAGCACTTAGTTGACCTGTTCTAACCTAACATCAAACAAGATTGGCTGCAAAAGACGTGCCACTTTTAGACTGCATAAACTAGCCCAGGACAGTTAATTTTAAATGCATAACAAAAGCAGTCTCTGTTGGTCAATTTTATGCACTTTGCAACAAAGATGAAAGCCCGCAATTTGGTCTCAGACCATTTGGCTACAGTTAAAGAGGACCAATTTAATCTTAACAGGAATGTACTGACATTATAATGAATGGAAAGTAATCTGTGCATAGAGCATAAGGGCTTTTGTTAAACTTGCTCTTAAATGAAGAAGTTGCTATTCTGTTAAATTGTTTAAAAAGTAGCTGAATTCTTAATGGTGAATGGATCTAGGAGTGCAGATTGTTGGGTGATCATTAGGTTTGACTGCTGGATTTAAAAAAAGAGCTTGTTATTTACTCACGTTTCCCAGTTTCTGTTTTGAAGCAAGTAGGTGTCAGAGATTTAGAAATATGAAGCTAAGATTTAATTCTGATCCTACAGGATGGAGCACAGATACAGATTATCCACTCCGATATGATGTCCTCCAGAATGGACTCTGCTGTTTGACACAGTCCTGGCCAGGATCTCTTCTATAACTGGAACTAATCCACAACTCTGTTGCTTATAACTCAGCTCATGTCAAGTTCGACTTGCGCAGCACCCGTATGCTGACTGGTCTACATATCATCTCAAATATCAAATTCTCATACTTATGTTAAAATCCTTTAAAGGTCTCAGTCCCACCTTATATGTGTAGCTTCCCCCTGTCCTGCAACTCTCCATGCTCCTCTTGGGCATCCTCAGTTTCCTTTATCTACCAATGGTGGCCAGGTCTTGAGCAATTAAAGTCCTAAGCTCTGTAATTTCTTCTCTAAACACCTACTTCTTTTCACCTTTCCCTCTATCTTTAAGGTGAAATAACATTGGTAATTTGCTGATAAAGTGTAAATTTGCCTTGTATCTCCTATTCACAAGGAAGTAGGATAGATTCAATATAACCAATTAGTGCTCTAACTGCTCACTCTTAATCACCAGCAAAGTGATGGGCAAAAAACCACAATCCATCTTACTCACCAAGTATTTGTTCTCCAATGCTCAGTTTGAATTCTGCCAATGTCAATGTCATTCAGATCCAGATGTCATTACAGCCTCGCATTAAATATGGAGGTCACCAGCACCTTCTCAAGGGCAATTGGGGATGAGTAGTACATGTGCCAGCAATGCCCACATCCTCTGAGCAAGCAATTGAAAAGGAACTTTGGCCCATTTGGCAATTAGGATCATGGATGCATAATTTGCTGTGGCCATTTGTTCAAACTTCCTTTCTTATTGTGGTTCTTAACTATTGTTGGTCACTGTCATTTCCACTCAATGCAAATAGTGGAAAGCCAATGGTAGAAAATTTAAAAATGTCCCACATTTGTAAACCCTTAAATTGTGTGACACAGCAAAAATGTCTTCTGATCCTCAACATTTGCACCTGTGAATTGATTTTGAAAACTTTGATCTTTTCAAATCAACACAAGGCACTGACCATAACTCTCAGCTCACTTTAAGCAATTATTTTAAAAATGAAGTTTCCATTGTGTTGAAATTGAACAGCAATCCACCACAAAGTTGGCAATCTCACTCAAAGAGGCCACAGTGTCGATGCTGTGGAAAATACATTAATGTCGCAGCAGGGGTATTTTGTGGAAATTGAGGCTGAGGCACATTGTCGGGACACAGCAGAATGAGCTTTTCTTGGCATTTAATCATGACTTGAAGGCGCTTGCTGCTGAAATTGGGGGTGTTTGAAATGGAAAGTATTTTAAATTCCCCAGCATTCAGAAAAATCAGCACTGAATCCTTACAAAAAGGAGTTTTAGTAATATTCAGTATACTCTTGCACATCAAACTCCATGCTCTTGGAACAGTTTCACTGAATGTGAGGGTAAGATGCCATTTTCAACAACCAGACTTCACAGCTTCACAATATTCTTTGGTTCAGAAAGAAGCCAACCCCATTGTTGGCGATAAGTTTGAGCTTCTCTTTTCTGTGAATAAGGAAAAGTTCGGTCACAATAAAGGGGAAGGAAGTTAAATGCAACCTCTAATGATTAAAATTGGCACACTGAATGTTATACATGAGCACAAAATAGCTCATGGATACTGCAATATGACCTGCTCATATTACTTTTGGAACAATCTTACAGACTCATTCTCCCAGAAGAGAACCCTGTTTGCAATTGAGCATAAGTCAGAAAGTTGAGTTCATGATATTTTAAAGTATCTCATCCTCTCTACTTGGAATGCAATACTTTGGAATTGCTCTTGTTCTTTGTCACATCAAGCCACTAAAGTCTATATCTATAAATACATCTGTTGGATCCCAGAATGCATATTAGTGTACCTGCCAGAAAATGAGCCAAAGATTTTCAGTTCAGATAAAAGGGGTATTTTGTTCTGTATGTTATATTTTATTTCGTAATATCAGTGGCTTGGGGAGAATTCAACAAACACTTAAGCACTTCTTAATGGAGAGGTGGAAAGGAAGGGGAGTTGTTGCCTGAGGTCTGGGACCTAGAAACACGATGAACAGAGAGATGCAACTGTTATAGGAAGATTTTTACTCTGTTTTCTGCCCGGTAGCCAGGCCAATTTTCTGCCCTCTCAGGTGGGCATAATGCGTCCTGCAGCACTATTCCAGAATAGATCAAGGACATTCCAACTTTCATTCCACAACCATCATCACTAAAACAAGTAAATTCGGTCTTGATCACATTTTTCTTTGTGGGATCTTGCTGTGCACAGCTTGCTGCCTCATTTCCTACATTACAAAAGGGAAAACATTTTGAAAGTACTTTGTTAGTGTAAGGGATTTGCTATTACCTGTGATTGTGAAAGGCATTATACGGATAAAAATCTTGCCAAGAATCTTGACAAGGATATAATATCTGTCATTGGAAGCTCACCTTATAGAAAAACATGATCTCTATTCTACTAGACTAAGATGCAGCATATTGACACTTACTGAAGGAAGAAATATGAATCACAGATATAAGTGACCTAAAGGCTAAGTTCAGCTCACAGAATTTGTTACTTTAATACAAAAGTTGAAGTGTGGAAGGTAGTATTAAAACATTCCTCAACAGGTAAAACTGTTGCCATCAACCAAGTGTAGAGAAGTGGGAGGCATGTCTGTCAATTGTAAGCTTAACAGGTTTCCTTTTGGCAATAAATTGGCAGGATTCTAGATTCCTCTGTTACACGCAAACAATTTAAGTGCCTTTCATAGTTGTCAGAGTGATGTGAAAAATGGCCTTTGATTGGAACAGATTTCAAATACACATTATAATTTTTAATAAGACACTGATGAAAGAATTATGTGAATTTCCATGCTGCATTTCCTTAGTAATATTGCTCAAATTCTGGAATGCTTTATCAAAATAAAAATCGAACTGTTGATGTACCTGAGAGATATAGGTAAGTTCACACAACAGTTGATGACTATATATGAATGTGTAGCAGCATCCAAATATAAAAAGAATAATAATGTTAAAAAAGTCTCTCAGGTACCATTAGTTATGCTGGAATAAAATCTTTGGCTCTTCTCTCTGCTGGCAGTTCTCATCTCCTCGGGTCAGGCTCCTCACGTATTCAGTTCTTTGCCAGTGCTAGCAGTGATTTGGAGGTTTGCTTCATCAAATGCAATTAAATGAGCCCCTCGATAGTTCTTCTGGGGCTACGCTGTGCAAATGTTAGAAAATTGGATGAACAATTAATCAATTGATATTTTGAATTTTGAAATTCAGTCAGCTCAGATGAATTCCATATCAATGGTAGAAGATCATTAAGAGAGCTTAAATAAATCAGAATCTGTTGGAAATACTCAGAAGGTAGTATCAGGAGAAAATGACCTCACTAGATGATGAGAAATGCTGCATACTTTGCACAGCATTAAGACCCCAAATTGCACAGGCAATAGGCTTAGAGCCTATTTTACACAGTATGAGTACAAGGATCCTGAATCAATACAATGTGGAACACATTTGCAATGCAGAACAAGCAGGGCCATCACACAAGTCATGGAGGACCCTTCAGCCTCCCTTTCCCCCGTATGCAGAAAGAATTCAATGCCATGCATTAGAATTTCTAGGCTAAAACACCCATTATTTTGTGGTTAATTTGTCATGGACTATGGCTTTTGAAATGGAAAATGAGGTAATTGACCCAAGTGATCACACAATTGTATTTACGATCAGATTATTGCATAATTTTCACATACCAGAATTGTTTTGTAATTTTGATTTATGATGAAGTGACATGAGATTTCACCACTTCATAAATGGAGCTGATCGAATTACAAAGTTTCAGAAGGTAGTTGCAAAGTTCTATTGAAGTACAATTCATGTACAAATGTTCATTGTTCAGAAATTATGGATTTGATGTTATGCCACAGGATGTGAAGAGTTAACATATTGGTCTACGACATCTGTCTTGACTATTTTAGCTTTGTAAATAAAAGGCTTCATCATATGGGGAAATGATGGCCTTGTGGTTACAATCAGTGGTCTATTAATCCAGAGACCCAGCTAATGTTTTGGGCACATAGGTTCAAATCTGGTTTGGCAGATGGTGGAAATTGAATCCAATAAAAGTCTGGAATTAAGAGTCTAATGATGGCCATGAAACTGCTGTCAGTTGTTGGAACTAGTCCATCTGCTTCACTAATCCCTTTTAGGGAAGGAAATCTGCTTGTCCACATGTGACTCTAGACCCACAGCACGATGGTTGACATTTAACTGCCTTATGGGGTAATTAAGGATGGGCAATAAATGCTGGCCTGGCTAGTAAGGCCCACATACCATGAATGAACAAAAATAATTTGCTAAATTAATGGGAGAATATACCTTGCATTTATATAGCACCTTGCATAACCACTGGATGTCTCAAAGTGCTTTACAGCCAATGAAGCACGTTTGAAGTGTAGTCAATGGTGAAATTTGGAAAATGTGGCAGCCAAATAGGATGCAGCAAACTCCCACAACAGCAATGCGTTAATGACCAGATGGTTTAGTTTAGAGGTGCTGATTGAGAGATAAACATCGTCCGGGACACTTTGGATAAGTTCTTTATATCTGGCGCTTCCAGCACAAAATAAAGAGATTTTTTTATGTCTGTATGAGCATCTGAAAGATGATACTACCAGCAGTTCAATACTCCCTCTGTACTGCATTGCAATGTCAACCTAGACTCAAATACTGAGGTTGGATTTGAACACAAAATCTTTCGATTCAGAGCTGAGTCACAGATGTTTTGTTCATACGCCTGTGCTTGTTTTAAGGTCCATTACTCAGGTGTTGGTATTCTCAGTTTCATCAAATAATTTTACCATCATCACGAACAATTTAATGAAGAAAAGGTCTGCCAAAATTTCAATCCAAACTCAGAAAGTCCTGAACAACTTCTGGCTGATATGGAGCAAATAACATGTGTACCACACAACTGTCAAATAATGAACAGCCTCCATAAGAGAGAATCTAAGCATAACCCTTTGTCAATTAATGGCATTACCATCACTGACTTCCTCATTATCAACAGTGACCCGAAGCTGAAATGGATCAGCCACATTAATACTGTGGTTACAAAAGCACATAAGTTGCTGGGAATTCTGTATAAAGTAACTCACTCCCTGTCTCCCCAGTCCCTGTTCATCACCTACCAGGCACAAGTAAGAAGTGAGATAGGATATTCTCCACTTGGCAGGATGAGTGAAACTCTGACAACTCTCAAGAAACGCAACACTAACCAGAACAAAGCAACCCCATTTACCACCTGGAACATCCGTTACTTCAAGCACCATTGCACAGTGACAGCAGTGTATACCACTGATGGAATGTACTGCAGCAACTAACTCACCAAGGCTCTTTGGACAGCACCTTCCAAACATATGCCTCTGCCATCTAAAAGGACAAGGGCAGCAGATGCATGGGTGCACCACCACTTGCAAGTTCTCCTTCAAGCCACACCCCATCCTGGCTTAGAAACTGCAACCTCATTCCTTCAGTGTTGCTGGAACTCCCATCCTGACAGCATTGTGGGTGGATCTACACCCAGTGAATTGCAGCAGTTCAGGAAATCAGCTCTGGACTACCTTCTCCAGGGTAGGTAGACATGGATGATAAATGCCAATCTAGGTAGCAATATCAACAGAGTGGTGTTCTCAAGAATAAATATTAAAGAAATTCAAGTAGGGCTCCGTCTTGAAGAATCAATTGATTTTCAATTTTTATCTGCTATGCTTTTTGTTATTGAAGTAGACACTAATTATAGTGATTAAGGAAGTATTAACGTGGAATGCAGTAAACGTTGATGGACAACAAGTTAATTGTGATAACAAAAGCAAAACAGGTAAAACAACTATTTCATCGTCACTAGTTTATTGCTTGTGATAAATGCTGAATAATCGCCAGCGATAGCCAGATAACCGTTAGACCATAAGATATAGGAGCAGAACTGGGTACAATAAGAACATTTTCAGTATGTAAACGTACCTACTAGAAAAGAAGCAAAACTTGACCTTCTGTTGGGAAATAAGGTAGGGCAAGTGACTAAGGTGTCAGTGGAGGAGCACTTTGGGGCCAGTGATCACAATTCTATTGGTTTTAAAATCACTACATAAAAGGATAGACCTGATCTAAAAGTTAAAGTTCGAAATTACAGCAAGGTCAATTTTGACGGTATTAGGCAAGAACTTTCAAAAGTTGATTGGGGGAGGCTATTTGCAGGTAAACTGATTGTTGGAGAGTGGGAGGCCTTCAAAAATGAGACAGCAGGAGTCCAGAGGCAATATGTTCTTGTTAGTGAGAAGGGAAAAGCAGGTAGGTGTGGGGAATGCTAGATGACTAGAGAAATTGAGGCTCTGGTCAAGAAAAAGCAGGAGGCATATGGTATCTGGAGACAGCTGGGATTGAGTGAATCCTTGAGGAATACAAGGGCAGTAGAAGTATACTCAAGCAGGAAATTGGGAGGGCAAAAAGGGGACATGAGATAGCTTTGGCAAATAGGGTTAAGGTGAATCCAAAGAGATTCTACAAATACATTAAGGACAATAGAGTAACTAGGAAGAGAATAGGCTCCCTTAAAGATCAATAAGGCCGTCTATGTGTGGAACTGCAGGAATTGGGTGTGATACTAAATGAGTATTTTGCATCAGTACTTACTGTGGAGAAGGATAGGGAAGCCAAAGAACTCGGAGAAATAAATAGTGATACCTCGAAAGTGTCCAAGAATAAAGAGGAGGAGGTACTAGATGTCTTAAAACGCATAAACGTGGATAAATCCCTGGTACCTGATCAGGTTGACCCTAAAATTTTGTGCGAAGCTACTGAAGTGGTTACTGGGCCCCTTACTGAGATATTTGTCTCATCAATAGCCATGGGTGAGGTGCCAGAAGACTGGAGGGCAGCTAATGTGGTGCCATTATTTAAGAAAGGTGATGAGGTAAAGCTAAGGAACTGTAGACCGGTAACCCTAACTTCACTGGTGGGTAAGTTGTTACAGGGGATTCTGAGGGACAGGATTTACATGTATTTGGAAAAGCAAAGACTGATTAGGGATAGTCAACATGGCTTTGTGCATGGGAAATCATGTCACATAAACTTGATAGAATTTTTTGAATAAGTGATGAAGAGGATTGATGAGGGCAGAACGATGGGCGTTGTCTATATGGACTTCAGCAAGGCATTCGACAAGGTTCCACACGGTAGATTGATTAACAATGTTAGATCACGTGGAATCCAGGGAGTGCTAACCATTTGGATACAAAAGTGACTTGAAGGTAGGAGACAGCGGGTGGTGGTGGAGGGTTGTTTTTCGGTCTGGAAGCCTGCGCTGTAAGGATCAGTGTTGGGTCCACTGCTTTCTGTCATTTGTATAAATGATTTGGATGTGAATATAGGAGGAATGGTTAGTAAGTCTACAGATGACACCAAGATTAGTAATGTAGTGGACAACAAACAATGTTACCTCAGAGTACAACGGGACCTTGATCCCTTGGGCCAATGGGCAAAAGAGTGGCAGATGGAGTTTAATTTAGACAAGTGTGAGGTGTTGCATTTTGGAAAGGCAAATCAGGGCAGGACTTATACACTTAATGGTAGGAACCTGGGCAGTGCTGCCCAGCAAAGAGACCTTGGGGTACAAGTTCATATTTTCTTGAAGGTGGAATTGCAGGTAGGCAGGGTGGTGAAGAAGACATTTGGTACACTTTCCCTTATTGGTCAGTATGTTGAGCTGTAGAGTCGGGATGTCATGTTGTGGCTGTTCAGGACATTGGTTAGACCACTTTTGGAATACTGCATTCAATTCTGGTCTCCCTGCTATAGAAAAAATGTTGTTAAACTTGAAAGGGTGCACAAAAGATTTACAAGGATGTTGCCATGTTAGGAGGGTTTGAGCTACAGGGAGAAGGTGAATAGGCTGGGACTATTTTCCCTGGAGTGCCAGAGGCTGAGGAGTTACCTTATAGAGATTTATAAAATCATGAAGGGTAAGAATAGGGTGAATAGCTAAGGTCTTTTTCCCAGGGTAGGGTAGTCCTAAACTAGAGGGCATAGGTTTAAAGTGAGAGGAGAAAGATTTAAAAAGGACCTAAGGGGCAACTTTTTCATGCAGATGGTGGTGCTTGTGTAGGATAATTTGCCAGAGAACTTGATGGAGACTGGTAAATAAGAACATTTAAAAGGCATCTGGATGGGTACATGAATAGGAAGGGTTTCGAGGGATAAGGTCAAATGCAGGCAAATGGGTCTAGATCAATTAAGATATCTGGTCAGTATGGACGAGTTGGACTGAAGGGTCTGTTTCCATGCTGTACATTTCGATGATTCTCTGACTCCAGGCCTTTCAGCGTGTCTGCTCTGCCATTCAGTTATGGCTGATATGTTTCTCAACCCATTCTCCTGGCTTTTCCTGTAACCTTTGATCCCCGTACTATCTCTGTCTTAAATACACTCAATGAATTGGCCTCTACAGCCCTCTGCAGCAATGTGTTCCACAGGTTAACTACCCTCAGGCTGAAACATTCCTCCTCATTTCAGTTCTAAAGGTCGTCCTTTCACTTTGAGGCTGTGCCCTCGGGTCCTGGTCTCTCCTAATAGTGAAAATATCTTCTCCATGTCCACTCTATGCAGGCCTCTCAGTATTTCATAATTTTCAATGAGATCCACCCCCCATCCTTCCAAACTCCATTAAGAACCAACCCAGAGTCCTCAATTGCTCCTCATATGACAAGCCCATCATGCCTGGCATCATTCTTTTAAACTTCCTCTTCACCCCATGCAACACCAGCACCTTACATATGGGGTCCAAAACTGCCTACAATATTCCAAATGCAGTTTGACCAGAGCCTTTTACAGCCTCAGCAGAATATCTCTGCTCCTGTACTCTGGCCCTCTTGAAATGAATGCTAATTGCATATGCTTGCCAATTGGCCAAATGAACCTGCATGTTAACCTTAAGAGAATCCTGAATCAGGACTCCCAAGTCCCTTTGTGCTTCAGATTTCTGAAGTCTTTCCTCATAAGAAAACAGCCTACACTTCTAATCTTCCTACCAAAGTACATAACCTTCCACACATTGTATTCCATCTGCCACTTCTTTGCCCACTCTCCTACCCTGTCCAAGGCCTTCTTCAGCCTTCCTGCTTCCTTAACACTATCTGTCCCTCCACCAATCTTTGTGTCATCTGCAAACTTAGCAACAACACCCTCAGTTCCTTCATCCAGATTGCTAATGTATGATGGGAATAGTTGTGCTCCAACACTGAACTCTGCAGAGCTCCACCAATCACTGGCTGCCATCCTGAAAAAGACCCCTTTATCCTCATTCACTACCTTCTGCCAGTCAGCCAATCCTCTATCCATGCCAGTACCTTGCCCTAACATTATGGGCTCTCATTTTATTTAGCAGCCTCCTGTGTAGCACCTAGTCAAATGCTTTTAGAAATCCAAACAGATTGTGTCCACTGGATGTTTGTTTTCTAATTTGCTCATTGCCTTCTCAAAGGATTCTAAGAGATTTATCAGGCATGACCTCCCCTTGACAAAGCCATCTTGACCCAGGCCTATTTTACCATGCATTTCCAAGTGCTCTGCAATTTCATCCTTAATAATGCACTCCAATATCTTGCCAATGACCGAGTTCAGGCCAACTGGTCCCATAGTTTCCTGTCTTCTGCCTCCTTTCCTTCTTAAACAGGAATGTTACATTAGCCATTTTCCAGTCCTTTAAGACCCTCCGTGACTCCATTGATTCCTGAAAGATTACAACCAATGCCTGTCCTCAGCTATCTCCTTTGGAGCTTCGGGATTTGGTCCATCTGGTCCGGTTGATTTATTAACCTTCAGAGCTTTTAGCTTCCCCAGCATCTCCTCTTTATTGATAGCCACTACACTCACTCTGTCCCCTGCTGCTCTTGAAGTTCTGGTATGCTGCTGGTGTTTTCCACTGCGAAAACTGATGCAAAGTCCCTATCCTGTTCCTCCGCCATTTCTTTGCTCATTAAACATTATCAGTTATGATTATATCATGAGATGAACTGGATACAGAATTACATTGGTGAAGAGATGAATCATAGGCATTTAGGGGTCAGAAGGAAGCTATTTAGGTGTTCGTTATTTAATTGAGATTGTCTGCCCTGAAACCATTTCTGAGCTCTTGATCCTATTCTTCAATATTCCTCTTTTTCAAACACTCTTCCAATTGCCTTTTAAATAACGTTACAGTCTCTGTCGCAACGAAAACCTGAGCAACAGATTTTTTTGATTCATTTGGAATGTTTATTTCTAATTAATCCCTTCATTCTTCCTGTGGTGCATTTCCTCTTCATAATGATTCAAACTGCTCAGCCAATGAAAACTTCCTACAAAGCAGAAAATCTCCAATCAACCTCCAAAAAAATTCAACA